AGAAAGCCAAGGCATGGTATGTCCAAGTGTCTGTATGTAGTTATGGGTCCTGGCCGGCAGGCCGATCTAAGAGATCTTCTGCCAAGTGCTGTCTCCTTTTTATTGGAACTCAGTGGTCCTGTCACCCATGCGGGGTCTTTCCTCCATGTTTGTCACCGAGGAGCATGCCCCGACCTCCCTCCCTGATTGCTTTAATTAGTCATCTCCTGGCTCCAGCTTTTTAGCCTTGCTGTTTTCCGCCCCCAAACATGCTCCAGTCTCCTCTTATCACAGGATGGAATGCAGATTAGAGTAAGTTACAAAATTTAACAAGCAAAGCAGCTGAAACTTACAAAGAAACAGTTACAAAGCTTCACAGCTCAGTGGTTACAACCAGACCTTCGCACAGCAACTGATTGAGAGCAATTTCCATCTTACAGTGTAATGCATTTCCAGAAAATGTATGTGTCAAGCAGGTAGCCCCAATTTACAGGGTAATAGATTGGGTGGAGGCTTTACACAGCAGAAGGGACTTTGGCAGCAGGAGAGCGTGTAGCGCGGGGGTACAAGAGGGTGTTTGGGGGTAGGAGGGGGCTGGAGGAGTAACCCAGAAAAGCTGAGAGGTTGAGAATGCAGCCAACGAGCTAGATGGGGAGGGAGGCAAAGAAGTGGGGAGTAAAGCAAAGTGCAGCTTCTGCAACGGAGAATTGTATTTCCCCTCCAATCTTCCCTCTGCTCCAGCCTTGCTCCCCTCAGCCTCATGATCCCCGCCAGCCTGATCCCCTGCATCGCCCCATAGCTCTCACTGCAAACCCTGCCCCTCCCATCCTTCTCTGCCTCCTTCAACCCTCCTCCCCCCGGACATCCCTGTGCCCCCAGTGCACTCACAGGCATGGCATCAGCGCTGTGGGGAGGAGAGGTTGAGGGGGGAGCAGAGTCTCTTCCCTGCAGGCTGCGGCGCCGGGGCTGAGGCATCAGTGGAAGGGCCCAGGCAGAAACGGCAGGTACCAGACTTGTGGGTCTGGGTCTGGCTACTGTTAGTGCCTGCAGGGTCCCCTTGTGCCAGTGGCTGAGCTCTGGAAGAAGGGCGCAGTTCCCAGAGTCCTTCCCTGCCTGTGGTTGATCGCAGTGACATGTTGCTTTCTGCCAGGGGGAGCGTTGGGGCTCAGGCTGGGGCTGGGGCTGAGGGAGGGCGGATGAGGCCGTTCACGCTCTGCGGGCGTTCTGTGGGGGTAGCTCTGTAGCAGATAGACATGAGCAGAGCTCTTCCTGTGTGTCAGGCACAGGGCCTGGGTCCCCTTTGAGCCGTCCGGCTTTATTCTCCCTGCGGCTCACTTGCCTCTCTGTGCAGTGGAACTTGCAGTCCAACGCCAGCAGGAGGAATGACTCCCCCAGGCGGGGACCCTCGCTCGGGAAAATCTCGAGGCAGCTCAGAGGAGCCAGGAGCGGTGCTATCATCGGGGAGCCCAAGATCGACCCTTTGAGCCCGGTGATTGCGTACTCCTGCTCCTCCCGTCAGAGGAGTCCAAACTCCTCACCCGCTGGCAAAGTCCCTGAGAAGTCACCCGCAGGATGGGACCCGCCACCCCCCTCTGCCACTTCAGGCTACCCGCCTGTTGGCCAGCCCTTCACCTGAACAAGGAGACCGGACTGTTTGTAATTGGGAGCTGCTAACGAGCCGACCTAACAGTTTGTGTGCGGCCTCGCCCCGCCTCAGGGCTGCTGTATTGCCGCCCCACCAGGAACCAGAGCCTAAGCCTTTTCGGAGTATTTGTTTGCTGTCCCACCATGAACTAGGGCCTGTGTTTCCTCATCTCAGAAAAGAGATATTGGCATTAGAAAAGGTTCAGCGAAGGACAACTAAAATGATGAGGGGTTTGGAACGGGTCCCATATGAGGAGAGGTTAAAGCGACTGGGACTTTTCAGATTGGAAAAGAGGAGACTAAGGGGGGATAGGATAGAGGTCCATAAAATCATGAGTGGTGTGGAGAAAGTGAATAAGGAAAAGTTATTTATTGTTCCCGAAATATAAGAACTAGGGGCCACCAAATGAAATTAATGGGCAGCAGGTTTAAAACAAATAAAAGGAAGTTCTTCACACAGCGTGTAGTCAATCTGTGGAACTCCTCGCCAGAGGAGGTTGTGAAGGCTAGGACTATAACAGGGTTTAAAAGAGAACTAGATACATTCATGCAGGTTAGGTCCATCAATGGCTATTAGCCAGGCTGGGTAAGGAACAGTGTCCCCAGCCTCTGTGTGTCAGAGGGTGGAGATGGATGGCAGGAGAGAGATCGCTTGATCATTCCCTGTTTGATTCACTCCTTCTGGGGCACCTGGCGCTGGCCACTGTTGGCAGACAAGATACTGGGCAGGGTGGACCTTTGGTCTGACCCCATCTGGCCGTTCTTATGCCACTGGCTGCTTGAATGGCCACCCTGCCCTCCACCAGAGCTCCAGCGACTCTGTGCTTTGAGGCCCACCCTGAATCCACGCCTGGGCTACTGTAACTGTTTACATTGCAGCCCCACCCGGTTCCCCAGCTAGGACCTTCTAGAGTCCGGACCGTCGGCTCGAACCAATCACAGGCCGGAGACCAAGGACTAGAGCATGGGCTCCCAAACTGGGGGGCATGAAGAAATTCCAGGGGAGGCACGAGGCGACCCAGCCACGCACACCCCGTCAATCCCACCTCACGTTTTGCTGCTGTTTTTGGGAGGGGGCGAGGGTTTCTCAAAAATCAAAAAGGGGGCGTGATGCCGAAAAGTTTGGGAACCGCTGGACGAGAGAGACTTAGTGGAGTTCGGCTGATACGTTGACACACACAAGGTGCACGTTGCACTCCATGTGTTGTTACCCCCCTTGGCCTTCTGCCTGCTCATTTCAACAAAACGTTTGTGTCCGTTATCTCCTCATCCCCTACGATTTGGATCAGTGTGCTCCTCTGCCATGTCTTAGGCGTGAATGTTGGCAGTATTGCAGAGATAGTGTGTTCTCATCCCTCCTCTCTGCTCCGGATTGTGCTTGCCTGCTCTGCCGGGATCTACTGTCCTCCCATTCTGCCAGTGCTGGCGGCGTGAGCGGCAGCTGTTGTGGGCAGCCGGCAGGGCCTACACAGGCAGTCGGGGTCAGCGCCCGCAGCGTAGGCAGGGCCTGGAGCAGCCAGCCAAGGATTCACTTTGCTGCTCAGACAACTTCCTCTGCCTCCTCCTGGCGCTACTAGAGCCCCCGAGCAGGACGAGCCGAGCCCCCCAGCCAGGAGCGGTGTGGGCAGAGCCCTTGAGGAGCCAGAGCGCTGCTGGGGCCTTTCTCTCCACGTCCTGATGACCTGCCATGTTGCAGCTGCAGTCTGAGCCCTGCCTGGGGGCCTCGGTGTCAGCCCTGGCCAGAGCTCCCCTGAGCAGTGTGATCCTGTCCTGCCTGGGGATGGGGCAGGCCATGAAGGAGACTGAGTTGTACCCTACATAGTGCAGCAGAGAGCTCAGCTCCCCCGGGGAATACGCTGGGCCGTTCCCGAGGTGGGGGGGATGCACCTTTACTGCAGATGAGTGTGAGATGGGATCTTGTAGCAGCCAGAGCCCCGTCTCTGCAAGGGGGGAGGAGCCTCTCTGGGTGGGCGACTCCGATCATGGCTCTGGAAGCAGTAATGGCACAGACCTTAATGAACAAGATCAGCACCGGGTTCATTGCTCCCCGGGCAGGATTTCCAGCCTCCAAAGCTCACGTGATCTCCTGGGTGGAGCGAGGGGAGGAGCTGCGGATCCCGGATCTCCAGGGCTCTGAGGAAGGGGGGCTCGGCAGCGACACCCACACAGCGGAGCAATCGACTAAACTGACTCAGAAACCAATTTCTGTGTCCTCATAGCTGGTGTCACTTCTGCATTTTCATCAAGTCTGACTGACCCCACTAGGGCAAGGATGCGGATGCACTGGAGAGGGTCCAGCGGAGGGCGACCAAAATGATGAGGGGTCTGGAGCACATGACCTACGAGGAGAGGCTGAGGGATTTGGGCTTGTTTAGTCTGCAGAAGAGAAGAGTGAGGGGAGATTTGAGAGCAGCCTTCAACATCCTGAAGGGGGGTTCCAGAGAGGATGGAGAGAGGCTGTTCTCAGTGGTGACGGATAGGAGAACAAGGAGCAATGGGCTCACCTTGCAGTGGGGATGGTTTAGCTTGGATATTAGGAAAAACTATTTCCCTAGGCGGGTGGGGAAGCACTGGGAGGGATTCCCTAGGGAGAAGGTGAAATCTCCATCCCTAGAGGTTTTTAAGTCTTGGCTTGACAAAACCCTGGCGGGGTTGATTTTGTTGGGATTGGTCCTGCCTTGGGCAGGGGGCTGGACTTGACCTTCTGAGATCTCTTCCTGCTCTATGATTCTATGACCTGTCAGCCTGTGATCAACTCCAGCCAGAGGCTGTGGGGGAGGAGGGCGGGGAAGGCTGGGATCTCTCCTTTGGGAAAGGGTTGTGAGGAAGGAGGAGGAACTCAGCTCATAATTATTCCTGCTTTCCAGCCGTTCTTTGGGTGTGTTCCCCCTTTTCTGTCCCCCTGTCAGAATTTTCCCTTCAGCTCAGCACAGACAATGACTCCTCTCTGGATTCTGTCTCTATCCCAGCAGGTGACGGGACGCTGCGTGAGAACAATGAGGAGAGCCTTCAGCAAGAAGGACGAGAGCAAGTGGCTCCAAGGGCCACGCTGCACGGAAGATCTGAAGGGCATGTTTCCCAGAGTTGTGAGTGGGGAGAGACCTGGGAGAGTCAGCATAGCCGAAAAGGGCAGCAGAGAAACCATCCAGGGGAGGGAGAATGTAAGTCGAGTCACAGGAGCAGAGAGAAAAGAAACACAGAAACTGTTCAGTCGAAATTCCCCCATCAACATGCACCCTGCGCTTGTAGTGAGTGTGCAACTCTTAGTGAACGTGAAAGAACCTACCCTGGAGAGAAGCCCTTCAAATGCTCTGAGTGCGGGAAATGCTTCAGTCAGCGCTCAGAACTAAGTAACCATCAGATAATACATGCAAGAGAGACACCCCATAAGTGCTCCGATTGTGGGAAAGGCTTCAAACACAGGTCAGCCCTTGTTACACACAGAAGAACACACACAGGAGAGAAACCTTTTAGCTGCTCTGATTGCGGGAAAAGCTTCAGTCAAAATTCACACCTTGTTACCCACAGGAGAACCCACACAGAAGCGAGACCCTTCAGCTGCTCTTACTGCGGGAAAAGCTTCAGAAGCAACTCATACCTTATTATACATTGCAGAACCCACACAGGGGAGAAACCTTTCAGTTGCTCTGCCTGTGGGAAAAGCTTCCGTCAGCGCTCAGGCCTGAACACACATCAGAGAGCCCATAGACAGAAACCCTACAGCTGCTCTGACTGTGGGAAAAGCTACCGTTGCAGCTCAGACCTTATTACGCATCAGAGAACCCACACAGGGGAGAAACCCTTTGACTGCTCTGACTGCGGGAAAACCTTCCATCATAGTTCAGCCCTTGTTACACACCGGCGAACCCACACAGGAGAGAGACCCTTCAGCTGCTCTGAGTGTGGGAGAAGCTTCAGTCGGGGCTCCAGCCTTATTAACCACCAGATAATACATAGAAGAGGCACACTCTATAACTGCTCTGATTGCGGGAAAGGCTTCAAGCGCAGGTCAGTCTTTTATAGGCACAGGAGAACCCACACAGGGGAGAAGCCCTTCCGGTGCTCTGACTGCGGGAAAAGCTTTCATCATAGTTCAGCCCTTGTTACACACAGGAGAACCCACACAGGGGAGAAGCCCTTCCGGTGCTCTGACTGCGGGAAAAGCTTTCATCATAGTTCAGCCCTTGTTACACACAGGAGAACCCACACAGGGGAGAAGCCCTTCCGGTGCTCTGACTGCGGGAAAAGCTTTCATCATAGTTCAGCCCTTGTTACACACAGGAGAACCCACACAGGGGAGAAGCCCTTCCGGTGCTCTGACTGCGGGAAAAGCTTTCATCATAGTTCAGCCCTTGTTACACACAGGAGAACCCACACAGGGGAGAAGCCCTTCCGGTGCTCTGACTGCGGGAAAAGCTTTCATCATAGTTCAGCCCTTGTTACACACAGGAGAACCCACACAGGGGAGAAGCCCTTCCGGTGCTCTGACTGCGGGAAAAGCTTTCATCATAGTTCAGCCCTTGTTACACACAGGAGAACCCACACAGGGGAGAAGCCCTTCCGGTGCTCTGACTGCGGGAAAAGCTTTCATCATAGTTCAGCCCTTGTTACACACAGGAGAACCCACACAGGGGAGAAGCCCTTCCGGTGCTCTGACTGCGGGAAAAGCTTTCATCATAGTTCAGCCCTTGTTACACACAGGAGAACCCACACAGGGGAGAAACCCTTCACCTGCTCTGAGTGCGGGAAGAGCTTCAGACAGAGCTCAGAGCTTGTTGCCCATAGGAGAATCCACACAGGGGAGAGACCCTTCAGCTGCTCTGACTGTGGGAAAAGCTTCAGCCAGAGCACACACCTTCTTACCCACAGGCGAAGCCACACCGGAGAGAAACCCTTCGTCTGCTCAGACTGTGGGAAAAGCTTCAGTCAGCGTCCAAATCTTGTTACCCACCGGAGAACCCACACAGGGGAGAAAACTTTCAGCTGCTCTGACTGTGGGAAATGCTTCAGTCTGCGCTCCCATCTTGTTACCCACAGGAGAACCCACACAGGGAAGATACCCAATTCCCTGAGTTCCGTTTAGGCTGCGTGTCCATGTGGCTGTGCTACACCCAGATAAATGCCAGGAGAGCTCTTAAGGGCTGTTGCAAAGAGAGATACCTCTATCCATTGTTCTGAACTCCAGCCAAGACATGCCATGGCCAGCAGATAGTTTTCTATCCCATGGCCCCAACCCCAGAGCTGCCATGGCAGGGAGAGGTGCCTTCCCCATCTCCTCCTCACAGCTGCACCAGAGCTGGGGGGAGTCTTTTCTCATGGATGTAGTGTTTCAGGCTCTGTCTATGCTACGTGTTTTGTCAGAAGAGGCAATGCAAATGAAGCACTGATTAGCATTTTCTTGTGCTTCATTTCAAAATCTATTCCGATCCAATTTGCGCAAGAGGCTTTTGTGCAAAAACATGCAGTGTGGACGTGTCCATTTTGCGCAACCCTCCCCCCCCCTTTTTTTTCTGTGCACCAATAAGGAGATGTCACACATTCCCCTCACATTGGTGCACCTACGAAAACTCCCTCTGCCCATGTGTGGGGGAAAAAACAGGTGGAATGCCGGGTCTGACTGCTCTGAGCGTGAGAGGGGTTCCGTGAGAGGCTGAAGACAAAATTGGAATTGGTTATCTAATACATGGACCGTTTTTTTCAGTGTCGGTCAGACGTTTTTAAAAACTACATTTCACTATTTGAGATATTTTAATTTGAAACGTTAATGCATTGCAATTTTAGAAGTCCTGACCAAAACAGGAATCGTGAGGGGTGGAGAGGTGGTCAGGAGTTTGGACTTCTGCAGCCTTTGATGATTATTCTATTCCTATGCTGGTCGGAGAGGACTTAGCCAAATGTGAGACAGGTTAAGGAGGGGTGGGTAAGGTACAGAGCTACAGAGCTATTTAGGCCTCCATACCTAACTCCGTTCTTGAGCCTTTCACAGGGGCCCAGTCTGTATCCCCAGAGACCCCAGGGATGGAGCCTGAGCTGGAGATGGCAGCACCAGACCCCAGGCCAGCATCTACAACAGCAGCGGTAGATCCACCGATAGACCTGACCAGAAAAAAGCAGCCAAACGCAGTTAAGTGGAGTGGGACGTGTCAGGAATCTTTTAAGCCGCATAAGGCTGCTCTTACATCTGAGCCAATATTAAGGGCCCCAGATTGACAAAACTTTCTTTGTCACGACGGACGCGCCAGAGCGCTGCGTGGGGGCAGTTTTGATGCAAACAGGACCAGATCAACAATTCCACCCTGTAGTGTTCCTCCACTGGTCTGTCTCTGAGACGGAATGCTCCGCCATTGTATATGCTTGAGAGCAGTGGTCACCAACCAATAGATCGGGATCTACCAGTAGATCTAGGAGCCTCTGACAGGTGATCCTGACTGGTTTCACTGGGAGATGCTTCAGCTGCCCCTCCTCCCACCAGAGCTAACCCTTGGGAGCCTCCCGCTTATTGTGCAGGGTGGAGGAGACAGAGGCAGAGGAGACCCCTCTCCTGTACCCATCATCACAGAGTGAGGAGGGCGGGGCCTCGGCGAAGGGGTGGGGCAGTGGTATTTGGGTTTGAGGTAGATCCTGCCCGGACTTAAATTTGAAAAGTGATCTTGTGCTTAACAAGGTTGGAGACCGGTACTCTAGAGAAGTTACAACCATATATTTGAGGACAACACTTTGATCTGCAGACCAACCCTCTTGCTCTGACGTGGCTTCACAGGGTCAGAGAGACTAACATGTAACTCCTTCGGTGGAGTTTGGCTGGTCAAAACCTTGACATACAGCACATCTCAGGGGCTCCTGACAAAGGGGCTGATGCACGCTCTGGGAAAGTTTCCCAGACTAAGCCTGTTAAAACTCTCCCTATACCGAAGCCATTGTATTCCGTGCATGCAGGGGATCTTCTTTTGTTTTTGTGTATTCAGTAGTGAATTTAGTGTGTGCAGGTAGGTTATTATGTTTTCTCCTTAAACCTCCAGGAAGAAATCACAGCCATTGTGGACCAGTCTGTCGAGCACGGTCTGTGATTTGGGAGGTGTGTGGTGAATAGGAAGAATACTGGCCTTTTTTGAACATGCAGCCTTCAGTAACTAAAGGGTTAAACCCAGGTAGCTAGACGGTAATGGCAGGAAGCCAGGAGAACTAATAAGAAGAAACGATTGAAATTTGAATGGGAAGGGATACCTGCCTGCTGATTTTCTTTGTGTGAGTTTTAAGCCAGGAACAGGGCGAACAAGATGAATGGAACCAGGCAGAACTGCCGTACCTGCAAAGCATACGGGGCATGGAAAGCATGAGTAGGAAATGTCTGGTTAGACATGATCAGGCTGTTTTCTGTGTTTTGTTGTTTGGTTAAACTTTTCTGTGCTAAAGTCCATGTTCCCGTCTCTCTACTCTGTAACCTTAAGCTGAATCCCAGTGATGAATTTCTTTGGGGTTTTTTACTTGTTCCTTTCTCCGTTGCGTTAAAACACCTAGCAACCAAGTATGTGTTATCCGGTATATCTTTGTTTTGTTAATAAAATCGTTTTTCTGTAAGCAGATGATTTGATTCTTGTGTCCTGAAAGGCAGTAAGAGGTCTGTGTATGCATACCTCAGACTGAGAGGTCAGCTATGAGAGATTGCAGTTTGTTTTCTCTTTTTTTCAAATTGCTTGTGGTGGATGAGCTTGGGGCACCCCCCTGGAAGAAGTTCCAAGTGCTTCCTCCTGGGTTCAAGAAGAAAAGGGTTTTTCTCAGGGGGTTGGTGGCAGCCTGTCTCCAAGGCCAGGGAATCCGTGACCCTGCGGAGCTTTTAAGCAGAAGCCGATAGAGGTGAGGTATTGGTAAGATCTCTTGTGAGCCCCCAGCTTCTGAACTCGCCTTGACAGGGTGGCAGAGCTGGTTGGATCATTTTTAAGCAGGAACACAGACCTCGGGGTTTCATTTAAAAGGACACAGGTTTTTTTCTTTGATGCTGTTGGAAGTTTTGGGGGGTTTTTTCTTTTGCTGCTTGAGGTGGGGAAAAGGCACACAGAATGTTAAACCTGCGCAGCCAGAGCCCTGATTTTCCAGCTTTTGGGGTACCCGGATAGCTAGGCTAGAGCAGAGAAGGGAAGTAGCCCAGAGCATGCAGAGTAGCCGTCAAGCAACCAACCTTCCCTAAGCGACACTTCGAGGTGCAAACAGCTTCAGATCAGGGTGCAATGTCTACCGCTGGTGAAGGCTCGTACCATGAGGCGGAGAGACAGGAGACTGTCCCTGTGAGGCCAAGCAGGAGTAACCTTTTTGGGGGCAGGAGCAGAGAGCGGCGGCCATGCCCTTCCCATGACACCTTCAGGGTGGGAGAGCATCCTTAAGCCAGGCAGACCTCTGACTAAGGGTGAGATGGAATTCTTCCGACAGACGAGTGTTTGGAAGTGGAGGAGAGGGAAAAGCAGAGGCGCTTTGAGCTGGAGGAAGCTGGGAATTTGGGTGCTCCAACTATACCGACTAACGCTCCTGCTCCACTGAATGCTCCCCAACTGAAGAAGTTCCCAGAGTACCAGCTAGGAGATAATGCAGAAGCCTTCTTGCTCTGTGCTGGTGCCTCCCAGAATGGGCTGATCACATGACTCTCAAACCAGTTTCTGCTTTTTTTAAGCAAGGGGCCATGGAGTCCCCAGGTGTGTCCTCCGCCATGGGGCCTTTGTGTGCTCCTCCAGTGCATCCAGCAACCCCCCTCCCAGCAAAAAACATGCAAAGTATCTACACAAAGCGCATATTCCTAACTGTACACACACAGCTCATACAAGTACACAGGTAGCCTAGACAGAGTCAACACAACATAAGCTCTCGTTACACACCTCACATGCCCCCCTGTGCACCGAACGGGGGGCAAACACACGCTAGTGAGTGCAACAAAAGAGTATCCCTTTCCTATTAAAATCCAGTGACATGACACCTTCCTGAAGAGCTCTAAAGATACATCCAAGAGGGGAAACCCAAAACCATAACAGAGGCAGGTGAGGAAATGCGGAGCCAGGTGGCTGGAGTGACGGGGAGGAACAAAACTGACAGCCATTCGAGGCAGTATCAGGAGGGGCGCCCAGGGAATACTGCCCCCAGGGACAATCCTAGGGCCTACCTGGCAGGGAGGAGCCCTCCACCCCATGGGAAGCCAGACACCCTCTGGTCCACAGCCCCTTTCTCTAGCAATCCACCTCGCTGCCGTGACGAGGCACCTGGGCGACGTTTTACATGTAATGAGCTGGGGCCTGTGACAGCCAGTAGCCCCACCGGAGCGCAGCACCTTGCACCGGGGTCACACCAAGAGTCCTCACCTCCAGATGGCTCTCCCATACTCCCGAGCGAAGGGAAACTGAGTGTAGGCATTTGATGCAGTCTCTCGTGACTGTCTCAAGAAAGTGAGGAGAAACAAGAAAGGTTAAAAGAAAACGCACGGCCCTGGAGTCATCACACACACCCGTCCCCGTGTCCCAGGCCTCGTTCCCTGCCCTCGGTTCTGCTGCGGCTCAGACAATGGCTCTGGCGATGCCCACGGCCCTTCAGGGGCGAGGTGGCAATGTCAGCCCCCTCCACGTGGAGTCTCCCTATGCTAGTCCCTCAGCCTGGGACCCCCCCCATCTCTCCACCTGCTCACCGTCCCCTGACGCAGCCTAAATGCCCAATACCATGGGCTGTTCCAGCTGCAACATGGCAGAGCCCCCTGGTCCCAGCGAGTCGGGACGGGCCCGGATCAGCTCATCCAAACTCCAGCTCATCAGGAGTGTGGGGAAGTGTGAGGCCGCATTGCCATCTAGCGGCCAGAGAAGGCATCACTGGCTTCAAAGCAAATCAAATGCTTCAAAGACATTTTAACTCCAGACTCGAAATAGAATCCTCTGAACTGTCATTCACGCTTACATTTGACACTTTACACCTGGGTCTCAACAAAGATGCTAATTATCATACCCATTACAAAGCTAGCTTCCCCAATTATCACCTCACAGACATTAACCTCCCCCTCCCATCCCCCTTCTGTTCTGAAATGTGATTTGTCCTTTTCATATGTGTTCATTTTTTAATTGGATCCTTTGGTATATATGGTCGTGCCAATTTTCTTCCACTATTTGATCTGAGGAAGTGGGTCTGGCCCACGAAAGCTCATCCCCTAATAAACCATCTTGTTAGTCTTTAAAGTGCTCCATAGTCCTGTCTTTTGTTTCAGCTACACCAGACTAACACGGCTACATTTCTATCATTATGCTTCTGGCCCTGGGTGCACGGATTGGAGGGAAGGAGGGGTATGTGGAAAGCTGCACACTGGGAGGGTGGCAGATCAACGCTCTGTCACCCTCCTGCAGGGTCACTCCTTACTTTGGGTGAAACCTGCCCCATCCCAGCCTCTCCCTCCTTCCAGCCAGCCTCTCCCTCCCACCCCCATTGCTCCCCATTGCGGCGTCCTTCCCCTGGGGGGCCTACAGCGACCCTCCTCTGGGGGCCTGCAGCCACCCTGCCTGGTCCCTGGGCTCTTTCTCCCAGGCTGGTGAGCAACCTCCGGCCTCCCCCCAGAGCCCCGGGAATTCTGTGTGAGAACCCCCGCCCGAGGTCGGTGCAGCACAAGGGGACCTTATTTCGAAACAGCGAACAACTGGGCGCTGGCGGAGCAAGCAGGGCAAGTCCCGAGGGGAGCCGAGGGGGGTGGGAGCAGCGGGGGGGCTGTGCCGATGCCTCCCTTAGGGCTAGGCCATGGGGGGGGAGGGGAGGTGACCCCTGCAGCGCCAGGCGGGGGAGGAGCCGGGTGCGGGGCTGTGGCTGGTGCCGCTCAGGGACTCACGAGTTGCTGGGGGAGGGGGGCTGGGCCAGCAACCTGGAGGCAGGGCAGAGGGAGGCTGGGGGGGGGAGGAGAGGCAAACTGCAGGGTCACGTGGGGGGCGCAGGGAGGAGTCAGTGGGCGGGTCCCTGCTCTGCCCCCTCTCTCTGAAGCTCCCTCTGAATTTTTCCCGTCAGTGTGCGGAATAAATTTTGTCATGTGCACCGAGGCCGGTGTGGATGCGCACCACCTGTGCACACGCACGCTGCTGCCGGCGGCGGCCTCAGCCACGCTACTGCGCATGCGCCCTCCGCCCCGGCCTGGCCGAACGCCGGGCAGAGATTGAGCAGCGGCTGCCTCCGCCGATGTCACTGCGCATGCGCCTCGGCGGCGCGCCCGTTGAGGGAGCCGTTGGTGTTGTTCCTCTCGACAGCCTGTTTCCGGTTCCGGCTGTGGGGCGGGCGGGGCTGAGGAGAGTCAGGGCAAATGCCGGGGGGAAAAAAAAAGCCGCCCCCCCGCCAGTGCGCATGCGCGGGTTCGCGCCTCCCTACCGCGGTGGCCGTCTCCGTCGTGCGCCTGCGCGGCCCGGCTTTTGCCGTTGGCGGGGTGCGCGAGGGGCGCGCGTTCCACGGCAGCCGTTGGCCGCGCGTGCCGCGCCAGGTAAACGGCTCTCAAGGGTGCGACGCGGCCGGGGTCGGCTTGTGAGCGGGTCTGTTCCTTTCGCGTGGGTGGGGGCGCTCAAGGGCCGCTCAGAGCCGACGTTGCCTGTGAGGGGTCGAAGCTTGCTGCCTCCCTCTGCGCGTAGCCCAGGCCAGAGCTTCTCAGCCTGTTTGGATACAGCCCCCCCCCCCCCCCGGCCTCAAAAAACCCAAATTATAAGGGGCCCCCCTCCCGCCCTGGCAACAGCTGATCGTGGCCGGGCGGACGATGATAGTTTGTCAGGGTAGAAAAAGTAAAAAAGTGCGAAAAGCGCTGCCACACGGACAACAAAAATTCCGTTTTCTCCCCATTTCAGTGGTGTTGACCCCCCCCCCCCCGCGACTTCTCTCGTGTACCGCTAACGATACGCCTGGTTGAGAGCCACTGGTTTAAACAACTTAATCGCAGCCAGGGGGCAATTCCATTTTTGTGTGTAAAAGGAACAAAAATAATAAAGTGCTGTGAAACTTGCAACAAAACATTCAGCTTCCTCAAAATTTCAGTTCTGTCGAGGTACGCCCCACCCCCGAACTTCACTCCCATACCCCTAGGCTGTCTACATTGGCGTGATCTTTAACAAAAGCGGCCCTTTTGCGCCAATACTTGCTGCCTGTCTACACTGCCCGCGAGTTCTTGCGCAAGAGCACTGGTGTTCTAATGTATGAAATCGGTGCTTCTTGCACAAGAACTCTGATGCTCCCGCTCAGGAATAAGCCCTCTTGCACAACTGTTCTTGCGCAAGAGGCCAGTGTAGACAGGCAACATGAATTTCTTGCGCAAGAAAGCCCGATGGTTAAAATGGCCATCAGAGCTTTCTTGCGCAAAAGAGCGTTTACACTGGCATGGATGCTCTTGCGCAAAAACACATCTCTTGCACAAAGGCACATGCCAGTGTAGACGCTCTCTTCTGGAAGAGTTTTTGCACAAGAACTCTTCTGCAAAAGAGTTCTTGTGCAAAATCATGCCACTGTAGACGTAGCCCTAAGGGTACTGGTACCACAGGTTGAGAAACACTGGCCTAGGGGACCAGGTAAGTGTGGAGTTGCTCTGTGTTGTGTCTCTTGCTCATCCTCACTGGCTCAGCATAACACCTCTTCAGGGTCGATTTCCTTGTAACCTCTGCAGCCTGCCCGTTTGCAGTACAGGAAAGCATTGATTCCATTAGAAACGATGAAAACAGGAATCGGGGGCGGATATAACTCAATTCATTATTGGCTTATTAATACTCATTTGACGGGCGTTAAGCTGGCTAAATAAGGTTTTAGGAAAACGAGTGATAGGCGTGTGAATTAACATACAAACATAGATATGGTCAGGTCACAGATCTGGGGGGAGGCGCTGATGGGGTCCTGGGACCCACAGGCTGCGTGTGGGGGTGGGGTGCCTAGGGAGGCTGGTGCACAAGGGAGTTCTGTGCAGAGGATTGGGGGGCAGGAGGGCTGCGGGGGTTGGGAGGGAGCTTGGGGCAGGGAATTGAGATAGCCAGGAGGGGGTATGGGTTCTAGGGATATAAGAGTGTAGTCAATTAACTGATTAACCAGTAAGCAAAAGCTTATAGTTTAATGCTATAGACTACACGCCTCCCACCCCCTCCAATCCCGCTAGTAAATTTTTAGCAGGCTGGCCAGCAGCCTGGCTCAGTCCAGGACCTACCCCCACGGCAGCTCTGCATTTCAAGTGTATTAGGAGGTGTGTGTGTGTGTGTCGATTGCAGCTTGTGTGGGGTCTGGGAGTGCTGATTCCCCCCTTCATCCAGCCCCCAGATAGGAGCTGCTGCTGCCTCTAGGGGAGCTGGGTTTTAAACTGGCTCCCCTTGCAAACCAGCTCCTGCCTGGCACCACACGCTGCTGCCTCGGAAACAGAGGCATTAGCGCAGCGGGCTCCTCAGGAGTGGGGCTGGATTATGGAACAGTCGAGTAACCAATACGAATTCATGAGGTTACTCTATTAGTCATTTCCTCTGTCTCTGACATCCCTAGCGGGGTCTGGGAGGGGGCTGTGCCCTGGCGTAGGGGATGGAGTACAAGGTGCAGGAGTGTGTCTGGGGGTGGGTGCAGGAGCGGATGCTGACCTGCAGGAGCAGTGTAGAAGTGGGGAGTGCAGGTTCCGCTGTGATGACAGCGGAGAGGGCTGTGGCTAGGCTCTGGCACTGCAGGGGTTAAGCAAAGGAATTCCTTTTCCGAGAATTCAGCCACGCCGAAAGTTGAATATGAGTCAACAGTGTGATGCTGTTGCCAAAAAAGCAAATATGATTCTAGGTTGTATCAACAGGTGTGTTGTAAGCAAAACTCGTGAAGTCATTCTGCCGCTCTATTCTGCACTAGTTAGGCCTCAGCTGGAGTACTGTGTCCAGTTCTGGGCGCCACATTTCAAGAAAGATGTGGAGAAATTGGAAAGGGTACAGAGAAGAGTGACAAGAATGATTAAAGGTCTAGAGAAGCCTATGAAGCCAGGCTTCATGAACTGGGCTTGTTTAGTTTGGAAAAAAGAAGATTAAGGGGGGACATGATAGTGGTTTTCAAATATCTAAAAGGGTGTCACAAGGAGGAAGGCGAAAATTTGTTCCTCTTGGTTTCTGAGGACAGGACATGGAGTAATGGGCTTAAAGTGCAGCAGGGGAGGTTTAGATTGGACATTAGGAAAACATTCCTAACTGTCAGGGTGGTCAAATATTGGAATAAATTGCCAAGGGAGGTGGTGGAATCTCCCTCTCTGGAGATATTTAAGAACAGGTTAGATAGACATCTGTCAGGGATGGTGTAGACGGAGCTTGGTCCTGCCTTGAGGGCGGGGGGCTGGACTCGATGACCTCTCGAGGTCCCTGCCAGTCCTATGATTCTATGACATTTGTCCTACATCTCATTATAGCGGCTACTGTTCTTCTTCAAGGATATGGGGCCAGGGAAAGGGGGGAAGAGAGGCCAGGGGGAGAGAAGGAAAGACAGAGCAGAGACAACAAGGTTTAACCAAACGGCTTCTTGTAAACCTGGGAGAATGCAGGAGAAGGTTCCAATTTGAACAAACTTGGGGAAAGTTCCAACAACGCTCAAGGTCTTGTTATCTCAGTCTGGCCTTGGAGCCCCGCGCAGGAAAACGAGGCATTGCCCAAACGCAGCGGCTAACCCGCGGTGCTTGCTGCTCCAGGATTGGGAGTTGCTCAGGCTGCTCCGCAGATCCGGGGCTGGGTTCCTGTCTCTCACGCTGCTGCCACCCAGTGAGGTGTGTGCAGGCAGGCCGGCAGCCAGAGCCCTTCCCCAGCACTTCTCTGCGTCTGGCCAGCAGCAGCCTGCAGGTGAGGGGCAACCGGTGGGCAAAGGCACCGTCTGCTGGAGTGCAAGGCCTCAGCCACCCCGCTCCGGAGTGCTGACCCCACGCAGCTGGTGGCAGGGCCTGGAGAGGGGCCAAGGAGCAAACTCAGGGCAGGCAGACAGGGTCCGGGCGCTGCCAGCCAGGGGCAGTGGGAACCTATCGGTATGGGGAGGGGCAGAGGGGATGGACAGAGAGCCCTGAAGGATGGGGACAGACGGGCTTTTCCCCCTTCCAGGATGGGGCATCTCAGGCTCCTCGGTCCAGTGGGTCCGGCTCAGTGTGAACCAGGAACGGGAAGCTGAAGCCTGACGCACTCAGACGAGGGAGGGGGCAGGGATCTTTACTGGGGAAGATGATTAGCCGCTGAATTGAATGGCCGGGTATTGAGAGAGATGAGTTTGGATTTGGGATCTAACCTGTGTGTGCTGTTTGTGGAATATCTCGACTCCAGCCTGTGAGTCACCAGGAACAGAGTCTAGGGAGAACGGGGAGGTGCAAAGCATTAAAGCCCCTTCTGAAATGTCTCCAATGGCCCTTCTCCCCCCGACAGGCTGCAGGACACCCATGTCTGTCTCCAGCTCAGCCCACGGCCTGCAGAGCCAGGGACAGGAAATGGCCGTGACGGGGCCGGTGACCTTCGAGGAGGTGGCTGTGTATTTCTCTGAGGAGGAATGGGCTCTGCTGGACCCGGGCCAGAGAGCCCTCTACTGGGACGTGATGCAGGAGAATTACGAGGCCGTGAGCTGGCTGGGTAAGGATTCCTGTCCCCTGGAGGGGAGGGGAGCACCTCTGGAGCAGCTGGGTTGGGTTTGGTTCAGGGTCCCTCATTGCTCCCTGCCCCCCAATATCCGGAGTATGAGCCCCAAAAACCTGGCTCCTGTGTGAGAGACTGTCCCCCCCACGCGTCTTCCCAGGGGGCACAGGGTCAGGGACATACCAATGGTGCTGCTCTTCCCACAGCCAAGGTCTCAATGTGCTTCCCCACCATCTTGCCAATGTTTTTCCTTGGCCGGAGATGTTGGTGGCTGGGCCCAGGCAGGAACGGCAGGTACCAGAGTTCTGGGGTGGGTCCAGCTACTACTGGTGCCTGCAGGGTCCCCTTGTGCCAGTGGCTGAGTCTATGGAAGCAGGGTGCGGTTCCCAGAGTCCTCTGACACGTGCTGGTTCCTCCCAGGGAGAGAGGCTGGGGCTGAGGGAGGGCGGATGAGGCCGTTCACGCTCTGCGGGCGTTCTGTGGGGGTAGCTCTGTAGCAGATAGACATGAGCAGAGCTCTTCCTGTGTGTCAGGCACAGGGCCTGGGTCCCCTTTGAGCCGTCCGGCTTTATTCTCCCTGGGGCTCACTTGCCTCTCTGTGCAGTGGAGATAATCTCCTCGTCGGTCTTCTTTTTAGAGTGAAATCTCTTTGGGCAGGGACTTTTCTCTGTAGGTGAATGTCGGCAGTGGAGATAATCTCCTCGTCGGTCTTCTTTTTAGAGTGAAATATCTTTGGGCAGCGACTTTTCTCTGTAGGTGAATGTCAGCCTTCAGACTTCTTTGACTTGTGTCTAATTGCATGTCCTGACACGGGTGTCCTGTGTGACCTTGGTCAACTCACTTAGCCTGTCTGCATCCGGTACCCTGTCTGCAATAGCTATTAGAGTGTGTCCCTGCATCACAGGGTCTGGGGAAGGATACATACAATAGGGGTGATGCTCCGCTCCATCTAAGCACCCCGATAGCACAGTGGGGTGCTGATTGACCTTGGAGATAACAAGTGCTTCTCTAACTGATAATGTGCTTGCCTATTTAGCTGGGACCCAGCGCCCTCCCATTCGGCCAGGGCCAGGCCTGTTCTGGTTCAACAATGATGTCCACACACAAACAGGATAATCACAGTCACCACATCACAGCGTTCCCATTGGCACTGCACATGACACACTTCGCAGGAGGTTTTGTTGCAGTTTGTTCCTTTGGGAAAGGGTTGTGAGGAAGAAGGAGGAACTCAGCTCATGATTATTTCTCCTTTCCAGTCATTCTTTGAGTGTGTTCCCCCTTTTCTGTTTCCCTGTCAGAGTTTTCCTTTCAGCTCAGCACAGACAATGACTCCTGTCTGGATTCTCTCTCTGTCCCAGCAGGTGATGTGATGCTGCGTGAGAAGAATGAGGAGAGTCTTCAGCAGGGTTGTGAGGAAGAAGGAGGAACTCAGCTCATGATTATTTCTCCTTTCCAGTCATTCTTTGAGTGTGTTCCCCCTTTTCTGTTTCCCTGTCAGAGTTTTCCTTTCAGCTCAGCACAGACAATGACTCCTGTCTGGATTCTCTCTCTGTCCCAGCAGGTGATGTGATGCTGCGTGAGAAGAATGAGGAGAGTCTTCAGCAGG